TGCCATGCCCCCACCCCGCCTGCCATGGTGGTCACAGACTCTAAGCCTCTAGAACCATAAGCAAGTCCACAATTAAATGCTTTCATCAGGATATTGTGTCATGGTGTCTCTTCACAGCAATAGAACAGTAACTAAGTAACTTCAGTGCTGAATGATGGTACCTCTGACAAACAGGACACAGAACCCTACTGAAGCACCCCTTCTACAGAACAAAGACAGCCATGCCCTGGAAATGGAGGGAGATGCTGTTCACTACAGGAGGAAGCTTTGCAGAGCTTCTAGAAGCAATGTGTTGAAACATGATTCCTAAAGGTTTCCACCCTTAGAGAGGACTCTGTGTCTAGCACCTTATTAAGCCCTTACCACATGCCACCCAACTCAATTCAAACCTCAATCTGATGACCTCTTCTGCTATAACCATTCTACAGCTGGGTAAACTGAGGCTCTAAGTGTCAGAGCTGGAACAACACCCCATATCCACTAGCCCCTTGTGCAACGTCACTTCTTTAACAGCTGGCATGACTTCCAGCCTACAAAGATTTATACTGGTGATGTTTATGGGCTCACAGTTTCTGTAGCCTCAGTGACTCTCATGTAGCCTATAAAATCTGAAAATATATATTTCTCTGGTGAAATAGAAACTGCCTCGTAGAAGACAACTGGATATCACAAAACCATCTTGATCAAGAATCTTTATGTCCTAATGCCAGAGAAAAAGGTCTCACTGCTATTCTGAGAATGGTGAAAACTGTCCTTGTCTCACCCCCCATACTTCAGAGACAGACATGAATATTGCAACTGTCAAGGGAGCACCCTAGGGAGGACTCACAAAGCCCACCCCTTGCTAATGAGCTTTTGCCAAGTGATGGCTCCTGGATGAGGGCATTTCTTCAAGGATGCTGCACCGGATAGATTGCCTATGCTCCAATGGGTGGCCCTGCAGCATCAAATGGACTCTGTGGTTAAAGACATAAGGAGTGCATGAAATTTGGAGGATGATGTGATGAAGTGAATCAAGGAGGAGTTGAGGGAGTAGATGGGGTAGATTTAATCAAAACACATTGTATTCATGCATGAAAATCTCAGTAAATAATTTCCTTAACTTTTTACAGAAATAAAGCACTCTGGCTAGGCACTGAGCCCATTTTTTTAGGGATGATACATTAGTGCATGTGTCTCAGTAAGGTTTTAGTCTTAATATTGCCCATTCCCATGACCCTCAACTAATAAGAGCTTCCAGCTAGTGTCAACAACTTTAGCTGAAAATCTGAGTGGGCATCAGGAAGTCTGGAGGCTTTAATGCAGACTTGACCTTGAAAAGTGGTGTCTCATCAGGAGGACCCCGGGTCCTAACAAATGCTCAGATTTCTTCACAGGAATCATGTGAGGGTTGGACCACAGATGTGCATAGCTTTGAGAAAGAATGTGCTGTACGCTGACAAGGCCAAATGTGGGAAAATGCCAATTAACACCTGCAGATGGAATCACGGCTGGCTCTCACTATGCCTTCCTAATAAAATGACCAAAGTAATGGACACCTATTATGCAGATTACCTCATCTGATATTCACAGGAGTAAGGTGCCATCACTGGCCCCATTCAAGGCTGATTGTAGACACCTGGATGCAGAATAGTGCCAAGGTCCTTATTCAGCATGCTTTGGGCTTTGGGCTTTGAGCCTGGCTGCCTGGCCCTACAGTCATGATTTTCATGGTGTTGTCATACTGTCCTCTACCTCTACCTGCTTGGCCTGGCAGCATCTCTGGAAAGAAACTTCAAATTTCCCTCAGCCATGATCAGCCATCTCTGCATGCTGCTTTCCTGTTACCTGATATTGAGTGCTTACCATTTACTATATATACTCTTGTGTTTAACTTGCAGCACCACAAGACGAGATTATATCTCCTGTTTTTAAGGATAAAAGAACCTATCTAAGATCACAGGGATAATAGGATGGATACTGGGCATTTGAACCCTGGATTTCTAATCCTAGAACCTGCCATCCCATTAGCTTTTATACTATATAGCTCCATCTAAGCAAGGTCCCTGAGACCCCAAATGAGAGTCGGGGTTTGCCTAACATACTGTCTATGGGGTCTGTTCTGCCAAAGATGGCTAGAGAGAAATAACCATTTTCAGAGGGACAATTTCCACAGGAACCCACCAATACAGCTCAGAGGGCATTTGTATGTGCTGCACGACACTTAATTAGGCAGTAATATTCATTTCTGCAAATAGAGAAAGAAAAGCCTCCCACAGGCTTCCTCAGCAATTTTCCATAGTCACTCAACTGAACTCCTCCATAACAACACTAATACATGAAACTGCAAATTATCAGCATACCACACGATTACCCTTCCTCTTCAGTCCTGGATTCCCACATGCTCGTGTGCAGTAAGTGTGTCTGTCACCCCAGGTCTGGCTTCAAGAGTGACAAGGCTACATGGAAGAATAGATCAGACACAGGCAAGATGTCAGGTTGCCTGTGAACTGTCCCTTCTAGTTTGTCTTTTGCCAATATGGAAGGCAAGTGATACCAATATCTTAACAACGAGGCTGAGGTTTAAAAGCTCTCTGGACAGGTAACCGGGCAAAAATAACCTCAAAGCAAAGATCTATACATTCACAAAATGTGAATTTCCTTCCGCATAAGACACTGGAGTCTTCCTTTGTGTTTTTCCAAGCCAGGTGTGTCTTGCTTGTTTTATTTTTCAGGAAAGTTTTAGCATCCAACAAAAGAGGGATAAGGCAGCTGCTGGGGTTTTTCTCAAGCAGATATTAATTAACTGTGGTAGTTTTAAGAACAAAAGGATAGTTGCAAAACCTTTACATTTAAAACTCATACTGAGTCTTCCCAGGGTTTTGTTGAAGCAGCTAGAAGCCTCAATTTGAAACTGGAAATAAGTTGGATAATCTACTTAATGTATAGACACTATAGTGAGGAAGATGGGGTTCAATCCCCATTCCTGCCACTGTGAACTGCAGGACAGTTTTACTGCACAGGAGTTTCTGCTCTCCCTTTGTAAACTTGAGGTGATAATGGGCATCAAACCACTACCTGGCCTGATACAGGTACTGTTATCCTTAGGGTGCCAGTCATGCTTAGGCAGACGGTGCCAGTAGCAGGCCTGAACTCCAGGCCCTAGGGCTAGGCCTGGTGCCTCACCCATCCATACACTCTCTCTCACTTTGCTGTCTGGCTCCCTGTAGGTAGCCTAGGATTGATGTTTGCCCACGCTGTAACTTCTGCTGAGAGCTGATCTCATTTTCAGCTAAGCGTTCAGAAAGGAAGAATTCAGAAGCAAAACCCTCCCACACACTGGACACAACTGCTGACAACCTTAAAGGAAACATAAGCAAATAGATATAAACACACATGACAAAGATTGTACAGGACATATGCTGTGTAAATATAACCATGTGCTTTGCCTTCTTGAATGCGTGCTGCTAGCCCTCTGGAGACCAATTTGCGAGTAAGACTTTCCAACCAAATTTCTGACTGAGCGCTGGGGAGTTGGATTAAGTGCTGAGAATGTCTGCTTTGAAGACATTCTGAGCCTCCACACCAGCCCAGGGCTCTATATTGATCTTTACCATGGATTTTACCTGAATAAACTAGCTTGGGTTTCAGTAAAAACATTTTAACTGCAAAAAAATAACCTATAAACAAGCACTGAAACACACACACACACACACACACACACACACACACACACACACACACACACACACAAATGTGGAAATACAGATTGAAGAATGCTTAGATGAAAGACTAACTGACAGGAGGTCTTATTATACCATAGGTCACTGAGCATGCTACAAGGTATAGATCGGTCATGTGACTCATCCTCTTCCCTGACGGCTCTGATCCTTTAGAGAACAGATGTTTATGTCAGTCCCCCAGCCCCCGGGTTCTGTCACTCAGAGCACTGGTGTCCCTTACAGGTAGTACTTTGCCATCTTCTGTGCACACACACATAATCACTTCCACGTTCCGCTGTGTGGTCTTGTTGTACTTGTCAAAGTCACCTTGTAGGAGAGTGATGTAGATATCGTTCCTGACATCCCCTGAGGATGGAGAGAAGACGAGAGTTAGAGTCAGACACTGGCTAACCACAGAGATTGAGGGGAGGAGGAGGAAGGACCATTAATAAAATTAAAATCAGGGCAGTTTAGAAAGGGCATTTTTAAGCTGACAGGAGGGAGATAGAAGCAAGTATAGGAGTGCTAGAAAAATCAGCAGCAGAAATCGAGGTAGGGTGGTCAAAATTGGCCATGTGGTCTCTGTTAAAATAGTTTAATTTTCATCCTCTAGTGACACCTTCTGGGAAGGGAAAGAAAGCACCAAGTAAAATGATCTTGGCCCACAGCCACAGAGTGTGGTGCACCATAGACCTTTTTGTTGTGCAAAAGTAGGGTTCAGAGATTTCCCATGTATCACAGAGCCTAAGGGTGAAGGGCAAGAAGCACAGGGTTTCCAGGAAGGAAGTACAAAGTAGAAACTGAGAGAGATCTCAAGTAGAGTAGTTATGAGTAAATCATAGGACAGGCCGCACCCTGGACCACCATTCAACTTCAGGAGAGAAAAGGATGTGTCAGAGGGGTGATGCAATTTGAAGCTAAGAATGAGGCTGAGGTCCAGAGGGACATTTCAAAGAGTGTCATTACATGATCACCCTTTTGAAAAGCCTGCATGCATATCTTGAATGTATTTATAGTAGTGGTTAGAACTGCACCAAAAGACTTGAGGGGTTCTTAACTACTGAACACCTTCTATGCTGTTTCAATCTGTTACTACAAGAATGAGACCTTCAAGCTGGGCGTTGGTGGCACACGCCTTTAATCCCAGCACTTGGGAGG